GCGATATCTTGTTAATTTTTTTTAAGTAAAAAAAAAATAAACAAATAAATAGATTACGATTATTTTTTTAATTTATACAAAACAGATGAAACAGAATTCTAGCAAACATAATAATTTACAAAATCAAGTCGAGCAGATTTATTATCACGTATGAAAGAAATTTAATTACGGAAATAACTATTTTTACTGTCTAAAAATGTTAAAAACATATTTTTACGGTAACCGTTTATAATTTCTCCTCACAATCTTTGTAATAAGTCCTACAGCAATGAAACCTAACCTTAAATATACCATAAATTCATGGAACCAGCTTGTGTATAATTATTAGATTATATTGTACTATGATAAAAAGTACAGCTCTATATTTATTTTAATCAACTACAAACTCATCAATAGTTTTTTTGTTTAGTTGACTTTATGTCTAATTCATCTATGTTATAGTTAAATCAAATTATTAGAAATGAGACACAGCATCATTATAATATTTTCTGAATTATCTATATTACCCATATTCCTGGAATGTAGTCTCCTCTGGTATAGTATTCGGTACTGGCAGAAGCTCTATCTACACTTGTACCCATTCCATAACCATTATTTTCACAAATAAAAATGCATGGTACGTCCCATAATTTCGACATGTTATAAGCTTCAAAAATCTGGCCTTGATTAGCTGCTCCATCACCATACAGTGCAAGACATACTCCTCCAGAATTTCGATATTTGTGGGCAAAAGCGATTCCCGCACCTAAAGGTACCTAAGAACGCAATATTAAATTTATAAAATTAATCCCGTAAAATAACTTATACTTAATGGCTTACAATGACTTGAAATAGACTGACACTTATACTCCAACATAACTTACTGAGTAAAACGTAATTTTTTCTTCTAAAAAAATAGTATACTATAGGACGTATTTAGGAAGCATTAAATATAAATGAAATATAAGTCACATGTAAATAAAATCGTGAATTAAAGTTTTCATGGGTAAAAGTTTTTATGCAATGAAAGTAATCTCTCAATGATAATTTCTACATTACGTTTCTTTTGTGCAGAAACTCTTTTAGCTTTAGTTTTTATGGAAAAATGTTGTTACAAATTGATTTTATACTTCAACGTAGCTGTGCTCTTCAGTACGTACTAATAAATATTTTAATTTATTAATATCATTTATTAATGGGTGTACTTTCATTTAGTATGACTTCACCCCTAAGTAATAAAAAAAAAAATTTCAACATCCGCATCACAGAACAACACATTTAAAAAAAATAGTATTTAAATTGTTTTAAGTACAAATGATTTGGTATTAACATCAATATTCTTTATCTCTGAAATAATAATATAACTCATAAAAACAGCATGGAATGAGTATTTTATAAATTTCTTACTACCAAATAATAACTCCAAGTAGTGAGCTGAAAGCAACATGATAGTTTAAAGCATATAAGTATATTGTAGTTACTACTGTCAATGTAGGATAAAACAAAACTAATTTTGTACCGTCAACCACATAATGATTTAATATCAATTAACTTTAGCATTGCCACACTAGTTTTTATGTATTCAAGTTACTTGTTCAAATATGTTTACCAATTTCTGTTTGAATCTAGACACCTTTTATTATGGCGATTTACTTTTTATGTAAAATCCAAATAATAAAATGGCTCGTTAAAAAAAACTTGACAAAAATTATACTGAGCAAAAAATTAGCAATGTGACACAGAAAGAAAAAAAAAAAAAAAATGATTTTTAGACAGAAGTTTCTAACAACGTACTCTACTGGAGAGTAAACTAAAAACAATAATATGCGAAAGTCTTAAAATATTATGCATGATACAGCTAAAACTTCATAAGGAAGTACAGTCTCATAAATTACCTTAAATCGATAAGTTGCACTTTCCCACTGTGTAGAAATAGTATTTAATTAGTTGGAAAAGGTAGTTAATAAATTGACTAATATAAATCACTAACTTCAAAGATACATGGAATTGTATAAGAATCATCTGAAATTTTTGTAACAATACATTTTTGGTTTATAAATTCGTTTAATTCATTCTTGGCTCTTTACAATAATAATGAGTTATTGCAAACAGTTTTCTGTAGACCTAACAATGAGAACAAGCCTAATCTCAATAATCGTTGTATTAAATTTTGAACCTATGAAAGCTTAAGTCACAATGTCAGACACTCTTCTGCAACCCAGCACCGTTCATAAGAAGTCAAGTAATTTAAATGAGCAGTTAAGGCAGTTAGTTTATTATGCCAAAAAGGACTGCTTTATACCAATAGCTCTTAATTGTAAACTTTGTTAAAAAATTATTTATCCCAGGAAAACTGCTGTAGAGAGCTGTTTTTTATTGTGTCCTCACTAAAAGTTAATTATAAAATTCTTTGAGAGAAAAATCGGCCTTTACTTTAAAATATAAGGAAATGATATCATACTCATTCTTTAGCTCTTCATCGAGTAAATACAGTAGCATATATCCATGTGTACTTTTCTAGCTCTGTGGCTCGTTTAGCCCGCTTAAATATACTGTTACGCACATTCTTGGTATTGTAATGTTTAATGTGTGCGAACATTAGAAATAAGTTTTGAGAACATAATGAACAAGAAAAAATTAAGCATAAGCTCTGAAAATATCATTAATAATAAGCAGAATATAAATGCACCTAAAAAAGCTTATCCGTAGATGTACCGATACTGTTTTAAAGTAAAAAAACACTAGGAATAGGAGACACAGAATACTAATATTTACTCATCAAAGACACTTGCGTCAGACAAGTGCAATAAATAACATCTTATTCTCTTAAAACTGTGACATATAAGTCTTGTTTAAGGCATATCTAAGAAATAGAAATCAATGCTGCAAACAAAGTCCGTTTCATTAAACAGCTTAGATCTTACACATCAAGCTACTAAAAAATAGTTTACAAGAGCAAAAAGTGTATACAGTGCATCTCTTTTTAAGTTGTAATGTGTCGCACCTTACTCACTCACTTATGTTGAGCGAGGCACGACATGTGGATGTTTTCTTTACAGGACTGAAGAGATAACGAGGATAGTTGGCACTTAAATGTATTATCAATAGAGGACACCAATATTTTAATATACAGCTGTTACCTGTATTTTCAAACAACTAAATACAATCACTATGCACAGAATCACGCTACCTTCTACCTGAACTTGTCTAGTTTAATTAAGCATCAGCCTTACTGATGCAGGTCCGGCAGTTGCTGCTCGGTACAATGCTTACACGGTAGAGACGGAATGTAAGGAAGTGGGCCTACCATTTTTACCACTGCGGGCACCAGCACACGGAGGTAAAATTTGGGTTAAGAGAGCTCGCACACTTACTGAACTTGTACAGTTCAACGCAATGAGGCTTTCACAGTCCGATGTTTGTGTTGATACAGTTTGACGCACCGCTAAGCTATAAGAGCTCGAAGAGAAGGGGCGAGCGAGCCCAAGGCTTTGGACTCTCTCATGACAATTCCAGAGACTCACGGCCTGACGATAAATATAGATATATACATAGAGAGAAGAAAAGTCTGAGATGTGCAGACATATACGTGTTACGTAACTGTATGTATAATACATATATATATATATATATATATA